TATAATTTTATCATACTAAAGAGCAGACTGTGGCAATCATTTCTGAAATTGAGATGGGAGAAAAATCCCTCTTCAAAATTTAGTGTTCAGTGACCCCTGGTGGTTAAAGGAGTTACTGCTGCAGAAGAGAAAATCACATGTGCCTTTAATATTCATTCATATATTTAATTGTGTGAAGCTATTAAAGGCAACATTAAAACTTGTGGTTGTTTTTTATGCTGGTTGTCAACGTTCATGATGAGTAGAATGTAAATGTGGAATTTATAAGTACCAAACTGCATGGCCCTTGGAGGCACTTATGATGTGGTTGTCATGGTGATCATGGTGATGAGAAGCCTTGAACGCCACATAAAACAGATATTTTCTATGTGTGTCTTTTCCTCCAACTTCTAAACTGGGTTCATTTATTTGTCTTTTTTTCTCCATAATATTAAGATTTTAACTGCTTTTCATCTATTTTAGTGCAAAACTCTTTAGTATAATTTGCCTAATATTTCCACTTCAGCTGCTTGGAGATCAGCTTAAATTCATGTTTATGTATTTAGCAGATGTTTTTGTCCAAAGCGACTTACAAGCGATTCATCTTCATTCAGCATTTTTAGAGGATGGTTTTCAAGGAAAATACACGTTATGTTAAAGACACATCAGAAGATTTGGAAGTAAAACAAAAAAAAAGTTGAATATTTATTTTTTTAATTATATTTTTTTGTATATATACAACATTTCAGTCTGAATTTCATTAGTTGATTAGTCAAAATACTCAACAAACACTGAAACTGACTTAGAGAAATAGTTGTTATTCAGCAAGCACATTTTTCTTTAACAGCTTACTTGGTTGTGGAATTTATGGATGAAGTCAGCTTTTGCTGGATACAAGGGAGTATGTACAAGTGAAACTAGGACAAACATGCATGATTCATGCTTTTATAGCATGCATCAAGTCCACAGCTGCATCACACTCAAAATAAATCTGCAAAGTTTCTAAAACGTCTATTTAAATTAGATTCTTAAAGAAATAAAAAGGATGCAAAAGTCCTTCAGTAAGAGCCCATCATTTTTGATTGAAGAGATGCCTCCTGGACGTCTCCCTGGGGAGGTCTTTTGGGCATGTCCTGCTGGCAGGAGGCCCCCGGGTCGACCCAGAACACGTTGGAGAGGTTACATCACCAATCTGATCCAGGAACGCCTTGGAGTCCTGCCGGAGAAGCTGGTGGAGGTGGCCGGGGAGAGGACGGTCTGGAGCTCCCTGGTTGGGATGCTTTCCCCGTGAGCAGACAAGCGACGCGGTGATCAGAGATGCGCCGAGCTGTGGGGAGGGAGTCCATACCGATAGTCGGTCTCCAGCTCCACCAACATGTTATATTTCAACCCATTTTCTAAAGTGCAGCATTATGTTAAATGCACTGGGTTTTACCCTATTACATTTAAATTTCATGGTTAAACAGTACATGTTAAAATCTAAGCTCAGCTAGTGCAAGAGCGGCAGTAACCTAAAATACATAAATATAATTTTACTTACAGAAAAAAATGAAGTGGAGACTCCTTGGATGCTCCATTAGTGCAATTAATACCACAGCAAGTCATTTTGTCCAAATATCGCACAAATATTAAAAAAAATGCACAAACGCTACAACTAATGGTCTAAGTTGAGAGACTGAAAATCGCGGAACAGTTTTCAGGCGAGGCCGAGGCTCAGACTGAGGCCTTTCTGCGGTCACGTTGGTCTGATGCTCATTAATTAGTCCGAATTGTAGGCATTAAATACACTTAAACAGAGGAGTGACAAAAAAGAGTTGTCATGAGTATAAACTAGATCCATTCAACCTAAAACATGTATTGGAACCAGGCTGTAAACATGTTTATTTCTGCTGTGAAATTGGTATTTTTAACATGGGAGTCAATGAGGATTTGTTCGCTTCTGATACCAGCCCCCAGCGGATGAGGGTGGAACTGCAATTTATTTCTCTTCCGCATTGACTTCACTTTCAGACCTGAATTGTGGGGGCTTGGGAATAACCAGGGGTCTCATAAACATTGCGTAGAATCCTCACTAAAACCGTACTTAAGCTCAGCAAAAAAAAAAACTACTTATGCCATGTAGATTTGTGATCTATCAAACATGGAGGACACACAGCTGCACGCAATCTCCGCTTCATAAATCGGAGACTAACGAGAATGTCTCTCAACTACATTTTAGTCACAACCCGCCCCTCACCACGCCCACTTACTGCCATAAATAGTCAATGCAAAGTGCCTTGTGGATCTCATGCATATACATAAGCCGGCTGTTGCAGCACTCCGCCAATGACATGGCGACCGTAGATCAAGGCAGATCAAGGAAGCGCAATTTCACAGAAGCAGAAATTGAGGTACCTGTGGGTGAGGTGGAGAAATGAAAGGAAGTGCTTTTGCAAAACAAATAAGAGAAAATCCACAGAGTGGCACAGCGTTGCTGAAGCCGTCAATGTTGTGAATTCTTCAGAGATCTGTGGCAGATATAAAAAAAATGTTCCTATTGGGATTTGATGCCCTGACTCCTGGGTGAAAGTCACACACGCTAACCAGTCAGCCAAACGGAGATCTGCCCTGTACAAGTAGCCAGGGCGCATGATCAATCGGGCCACAGTGACAGGACACACACTGTCAAAGACACATGACATTCTGTCTCAATCTGTCCCCCTGCTGATATTCTGCATTCCGTATTCTGCGCTTCAGGCTGTGTGTGTGTGTGTGTGCGTGTGTGTGAGTGCGCGCGTGCGTGTGTGCATGTGGGGGGTCTTGTTCTGTGAGAAAATGAAGCAGTACAAGAGATAATGCTGCAGGATTTCATAATTTTATTTATGATAACTATTTTATATATTTTTATTTATTGCTTTATTTATTATTATATATTTTTATGTATTGCTTTATTTATTATTATATATTTTTATTTATTGCTTACACAGTTTTCTGACCCCGTTTTGTGCGTAAGCAAGCTTGATCAATGAAGCCCCAGGTAGGTAGGTTTTAACTGTTGCAAATATGCAACGCCTGCCTCCAGACGGTTAAAAGTGAGTTTAACAGTAATGTAACCTGTCAATGTTAGATGAGTAGAACACATTGTGTTGTAAAATCAGAGGCACAAACAGCTAAGTGATTTGGCTGACTTGTAAAACTAAAACATAAAGTCTGCACTGCTTACTGAGAAGCTGCAGAAAAGCTGGTGGATGCATCCACATTGCTCAGATTATTGATTACCTGACACAACATGGGGCTGAAGAGTTACATGTCTGAGAGCAGGAGTGCTGCAGAAAACGATGCTTCATTATTTCTGATCACTGTACACCCCAGACATTCAGCACAGCTTAGAGTCCTGTCATCAATGGAAGCACTCATATGAAAGGAGAGTAGTGTGTGTGTGTGTGTGTGTGTGGGGGGGGGGGGGGGGGGGGGGGGGGGGGTTACATTACAGCAAAAGGGAACAACCTCATCATCTGAAAATAGAACAAGAAAAAGCGGTGACAGATTTCTTTTAGGATCAGGACAAAAGACCGCACTCTGAATGATGGGAGAAAATAAGTGAAGGTGGTTGTAGAATACCCAGTAGCTACATTCACCTTGACAGGAGCCTGGACAAACGCTACCACCTGGACAACATTGAATTGGACTGAGGCTGTTTATGAGAAATGACAAAGCAAACAGGAGTTTATTTTATTTAATTTTTTTTACTCGACTTTCTCAAGGTTGCAGGATGATGTTACATGTGGCGACCCTCTTGGCTCCTAAAGTTGTGGTCAGCACCCTTCTGTGAGTCACAAAACACTAAGTTTGTGGTCCCTAATATTGTAATAAAACTTAAAAATAGTTCCACGTAGAATGTTTTGTTATACCTGATGTGAAATCAAAAAGTAACAGTCATAACTGTTGATAATACAAGGTCATGTAGTTTGTGTTTTCCTTGTGCATCTATTTATTAAGGTGTTTAGCAATGTGGGGTCCTTGTCATCATAATTTTGTGGGTTAGAAAGTTTGAGAACTGGTGCTCTAGAGCAGTCGCTCCCAAACTTTTCAATTTCAGACCCTCAAGCTGTCAAGGCATGCAACGCCATATATCTGATTCAAAAATGCAAACATGCTTTAAATTTTTAATAATTTGAGGAATGTAGAAAACAGCTTCCATCACATTCACTTATATTTTATAACAATTTAGTTGAGTTTTTTTTTTTGACGATGTAAAAAAAAGTTTTACCTTCGAAAAAAATGTACCTTTTTACCGTCGAAATTTTTTTTTCAGAGTTTTTACCTGATGACGGTGCAACACTGACAGTTTTAGGCAGAATGTTTAAATGTTTAAATTTTACTAAGATGCACTAAAGTGCCAAATTATTGACTACACGTGTCTACAGCATGATATAGTTTATCAGCAAAAAAAAAAATGATTTGGGGGTGACTTGCTCTTTAACAATTATGCCAGAAATAGCTTCAGCAACAGTTTTTAAATTTTATATTGATTTCTTGAAATCATCCCAACTCCCTCTGGTTAGTTTACGACCCACAGCAGGATCCCAACTCCAACTTTGGGACACACTGCCCTGGATTAACTGGACACACAACAACTTTGAAGTGTCTTCAATATTTAATTATCCTAATATAAGAAAATCTCTTGGTCTGCTCAACATGTCGATTTATAAATGATTATTTCCCCTATTTTGAACGTAATATGAATATATCCAATCCAATCCAATCCAATTTTATTTATAAAGAGCATTCACAAGGCATTACAACCAGACAAGGTGCTGTCTGGTTATATATGGTAAATGAATGTAATTTGCCAACGGAATTATAGTTTCATTCAATTCCACATTTTACAGATTATTTCATACGTTTTTTTTTTGTCGTTTGTTTTTACACATTCTGTGACAGCATCGCCTTTTATTAAACCCTTTTGTCCCTAATGGTCTCATGTAGAGAGGCTGGTTGTAGCCCTGTATTCTGATTGGTCAATATTCGAACTGCTTAGTTCTTCTGCTGCTTCTTACCGAAGTGATTTATAAAGTTAGAGCAGCTAATAAAACCCGAACCGCTGACCTTAGCCAAGTAAATGCGATACGAGTCTCATTTCGTCGATTTATATTTGTAAGTAACTTGTTCTTAAGCTGTTCAAACATTTAAAATGTATTTTATTTTAGGTTTTTCTTCGGGTGGTCTCCATAGACGCAGGTCTCAGGTACATCAGAAGTGTCTGCTGAGTGTCTGTAGCGTCCCGTGGACACCCGTCCATGAGCTCTTTGTTTGACGTAGATCTTTGTTTGCTATTTTTGTCGGTAACGCGCTTGCGTCTGCGTGCTCGCGCCTTTTGTAACAACAGGTGCGTTGCGCCCGATGATGTCACTGCACCGGAAGACAAACCACAGGTGAGGTCGAGTCTCCTCGTAAATAGCAGAAATTGCAGAATGTTTAGGAGTATTTTTCATTTAATGGTCGCTTAACCCACTTTACAGAAGATGTTCCAGGATAAAACAACGGTTGATTTGATGTTTTAAAACTTCCTCTTTAGCATCAGTTTTAAGCTAGTTTTCAGCTGCAGATCATCAACGCAGCCTTTAATATGAAACGAGCTTTGTTATCGAGTGTTTTATCAGGATTAACAGGTTGAGTTTGACAGTGATGGCTTATCTCTCTTGTATCGACAGCAGCAGGATAATATGACTAATTCAGCAGAGAGCTCATCCAACATGGAGGATTTCTTTCAAACGGTAAAGACCACACCTATCTGAAACTGGCATCTATTTAAACTAACTTTATTATGAACCTTCATCTTTCTGTGTGAAACATTAAGTCAAACAGTTTATTGTTTCTTGATCGATGTCAGAACTCTATTTGACACACCCCACATTCACCTGCTGGCTGTGTTTAGTGTTGACATTGATGCTGGTGTGTGTTTGTACAGGTGGGGGAGGTGAGGAGCCTGATAGAAAATCTCTCCAGTCAAGCAGAGGAGGTGGAGAGCAGACAAGCTACCATCCTTTCCTTCTCTAACCAGGACAAGGGTAAGAGCTGATTCAAGGGTGTCACATCAACTGTGTGTGATCTGGATTCTGTCACTGATGTCTTCATGCCTATTTTTAAACATGTGGAAGTTATTTTAGGACTCACAAGACAAACAGCAGGGCAGTTTGCTAATGTTGTAATTTCTCACACAAATGGCAATACAACCCTTCTGATTCTGAAGCAACAGTGCTAAGCATCCTTTGACAGATACACCTGTAGTGGTTTATAGAAGGGTACTGTAGCGTTTTAGAGCTTAGATGCATGCTAGAAATTGACCCACCGTGCTACAAGTTCCAGCTACAGGTGCAAAGTAAAAAAAAAAGTCACATCTGTGTTCTATGGTGTACCATGTTATGAAAGGTTGACTTGTTGCATTTCACTTGAATGTTCAGAGTCACTTTTTTTATATAACGGAGCTAATAGCATATGTTATGTAAATTAAGAATCTGTTATTTAACTCTAGGGCAACACATTTAGTTTGAACACTTTGTGACATGCATTTTCTGTTTAAAAACAGATTTTGTGTAGGAAATAAATGCGATGTTTTGTTTTTAGGAAACAAAAATGAGCTGGAGTTGCTGAACAACGAGACCAGGAAAACTGCCAACTTGGTCCGAGCCAAGTTAAAATGTAGGTACTTTAACTTCTCTTACTTTTTTTTTACAGTACACCCTTATTTCAACCAGCCAAGAAATGGGTAGCATAACGTAATAGCGAAACTTTACCCACAAGCTCACCCAACTGGGAGATATTCTGATGTAAAATGGAAGCGAAAGCTCTGTGGTGTATTTTATGTTTTGTTTACACTGGCCGGGGGGGGGGTTAACAGGAAATGACATACGTTTACCCGCATGAAGTTTAATTTGAAAGATTCCAGATTTTTGACACTAAGGTTGGGCGATTTGTATAATTTTTCCCGCCGCCAATCGTCAGTCTAATAAATTCATGCTGCACTGATTGATTTGCGAACACAGAAGTCCAAACACTTGCTTTTTTTTTATACAAACCCGGTGCATATGCTTGATGGAAAAGAAGTTTAGATTTTTCTTTTTGTTAAATTTTGTATTTGTTGTTTGTTAGTGATGTATAAACGGCTCATATTAAACATGGTAAAAGTGTTAAAAGAAGCCTCGTCTTAGTTTCCCTGTGGTGCCCACATTGTGGTATTTTATTTAAAGAAAATGCTATTTTTTTATTTTCTGAACCAAAGCTACTGGGTTTGTTACTTTTATGAGTTTGAGAAATGAATTGAACTGCTGCTGCATTTGGACGCACTCTGAGGAGGGAGCATTTGCTCGCAGCCAGAAGTTGCAGGATCCATTTTGTCTCTGTCACTTTCATTTAAAAAATAATCATTCAATACAATTAAATTTCCATTCATTTTTAATTAATACTTAAACAAGCTGAACAGAGTATCCCAGTAACAAATAAACACACATTCCTTGTGCTCTTCATAAACCTGAGCTGGTCACCTGCAAGTTGTGTGTAATCAAATGTGTCTAGGGCGCTTGCTGAAGAGGTTATGAGGTTCTGGACTTTTGTCTCCGTCTCGTGTGTGTCTAAATGCTGTTCTAAATCCGCTGACACGCTGGTGACCAGATTTGAGGTGGGTGCTGAATAATGAGCACTACTTAAGCCAAAGCTTTAAAATCAGGAAACATTTCTCCAGATGAAATAACCAGAAGTCTACCAGACTCTCTGAAAGATAAAAGGGTTTCCACGTTCCACTCAACACAGCCTTCTTGCACACATTGTTGAGTGCGCCGCAGACGCTCTCTGAGCTCCTCTTCAGCAGCAAGAGGTGGAGAAAGTATGAGATAATGCTCAGATGCTCTGATGGAGATCTTTTCTTCATTGTTACCTCTGCAAAGTTCTCTGTGTGTAACATGTAAAATATTGGTCTTTAACAAACTTACTCACGAGCAAACAAACAAATTGCTTCTTGTAAAAACAACTGTAACTGCTCAGCCCGTCGACTTTTTATTGATGATTGACAAACTGAAAAATCTAACAGAGACAAGACAGTTTTATTAACACATTTTATACACAGAGGCAACTCGATGTGCCTTAAAGCAGCAAGAATCAGAATCAGAAGGTTTTGTTGCTGCATGTGCGAGAAATCACAACATTAGGAAATTCCTGCAGTACTTGATGCAAAGACAAAGATGAAAATAAGAGATGAGTAAATATAGGAAGTAAGAATATAATCATGATAAAATAATATAAAGTGGCAATATTTAGAGAAGCGGCTAATATTTACACAGTGTAGGTACAGTTCAGGTACAAACACAACCCAGGGTCATGTGACTGGAACCAAACGACTGGAGTGGGCAGCCCTAGGATTGTCGTTCATGAGTCCAACTGCAGAGGGGAAGAAACTGTTCTTGTGGTGAGAAGTTCTGGTCTGAATGGGGGCAACATGAGTCCACCATCGTGATGGATTATCAGGGGAGTGGAGAACAGCAAATAATACAAAACAAACACAAAATAAACAATGAAATTATTTTTAAAACACTGGAGACTAAAACTAGAAAACTAACAAAATGTCCTGGTGTTCAGGGTGAAGTTAGTAAATATTCTATTCACACAGTCACTTAAACCCACTTTTACAGCCATAGCTTAAAGTGTTAAAAGCTGTTTAGTGTTGCTTTAAGTCTTAAGTATGAGATAAACTGGAACTTGGCAGATAATTAGTAAGTACAGGTGATAATTAGTTAGTACAGGTGTGTCGGTTTTAGTACGAGTTGTTTGTCAAAAGGTGCAACAGGAACATGAGCATGAAACCTCGTCTGCTTGTGTGGTCAGGGTCATAACCCATTATTTGATTAGCAAATGGGTAAACAAGGAAATGTGTCTGCTGAATATTTGTTTGTATTCATAATGAATGTTTTTTGTGCATTTTCAGCGATGAGGGAAAACTGGCCCCCAGATGAGAATAGTGCTAATGCTTCAGTAATCCATCGTATTCAAAGGAATCAGGTGTGTGTCTGGTGCTCTAATTTCCTTCATTTTTAGAGAAAACGGGAATCGAGTAAGAAAATCTGACATTTTCTGTATAGACTAGTTAACGCTGTCAGCAGGGGATTTCCACTGTAACAATAACTCACCACGTGACTTTACAATACACCTGCAGTGTTCCTGCAGTACACGAATGCTGCTGTCTTTGTAGAGGAGCTTCAATTGATTAGCTTCAGTTCCTGGCTCAATAAGATGATTTGTAGTTCTGCTGACTTGTCTCATCCACCAGCACTCACACCTGACTCGCTGGTTTGCTGAAGTCATGAGGGGTCATCATGAGGCACAAATGTCCTTCAGGGAAACATGCAAAGCAAAAATTCAAAGACAGCTGGAGATCAGTGAGTAGCTAAAGCAATCTTAAACTATAAGATATTGTTCCTCCTAGTGGCACTTTGTTTTGTCTGTGGAACAGTTCTTTCACACACTGTAGTTTTTTATTTTATTAGTCAATTTACTACTAAGGGTTTTAGGTTCAACCTAACATCAGATGTTAAACTGTCATTTGTTTGTTTTTAGTGGATAAAGTGACAACAGATGAAGAGTTGGAGGAAATGCTGCAACGTGACAATCTCACCATCTTCATATCTGATGTTGGTGAAGATTTTACTGAAATGAAACGTGGTTAAATACGGTGAATTAAAAGGAAACATTTGCACTTTCCCTCTAAAGAACAACTCTGACTGCCGCATAACAAGTCAAGCTGTGACTGAGATTGAAAGGCGCCACCGGGACATAATCAGCCTGGAGTGTGGCGTAAAAGAGCTGCACGAGATCTTTCAGGACACTGCCCTGCTGCTGGAAACTCAAGTAACATGTTTTCCCTTTAAGCAAACTCATTACAGGATGATAAATAATGACTTGCATCAAAAACTAGTGTCAATTCTGCTTTACATCCACCAGGGGGAGCTGATCAACAATATAGAAAAGAATGTCACCAGTGCTGCAGAGTATGTCGTTGACTCAAAAGAAGAAACAAACAAAGCAGTCTCCTTCAAGAAAAACCGATACAAGATAGCGTCCCTGCCGAGGTTCTTAAAGCCCTTCAAGAAAGATAATAGCATTTGACCAGCAGATGTATGAACCTCCACCATGACTGAACTAGATGATCGTGCTCTTAGGAACCATTCTTATTTATCCAGGTTCCCATGGGCTCTTTGGAAATCTGCTAGATGCACATTTATGTTTTACCCTTGAACAGAAAATGGGATCTGGTGAAAATGACTGAAGGAATGCTGCAGAGAACCCTTACTGTGGACTGAGAAACTTGAAACAGTCCATCAGTCTTTTTATTACAATATTTTTTTTATAAAGCCTGCTTTTAATTTGACTGTAGTTCTTTTAAATGTCAACCAGCAGATGGCAGTAGAACATAATTATAGCTACAGCTGCAATGCAAACCTGATTGTGTCTTTTGTTGTCCTTTTTTGTATAATTGTACTTTTAGATATGACTATTTTAGTGTTGAAATAAACATTTTATGATGATAACCATATAAAACTGTTGTGTTTTACGTAGGCAAACTAAAACATGACAATGTTGTGAGGTTCAAAGGTTAATGGAAATTTTCGGTTGGCACAGTTTAGACTTTTGATATGAAGCTATTTTTAGCTGAGGTATTTTTATGTGTTGCTGGTGTTACTTGGTGGTTAATTTAAGATTTGTAGATGAGATGTATGAGCAATATTTCAGAATCTAAAGATGAGGGATCACTAACAGCAGTTACTTTGATTTGAACGTTTTTTTTTTTTATCTTGTCTGAGACAAAAACACTGAGAATGACTCATCCTAAAGGTTCTAGTGGATGGATAAGGTGTCATATACGGCTTGTAGCATCGAGAAACCATCAAACCAAGTAAATGCTGGTTTGAACAAAAATAAGGAAGTTTGTATTTTGACAGTAATGTGACATTGGACATCCCCACAGAAGCATCCAGCAGGACACAGCCTGATCAGCGTAAGGAATGTTCTCACCTAGTTGCAACACTTTCAAAGGGAATGAGTGGTGTTCATGACAACCACACCCTAGGTTGGTTTTTACTTGTGGTTGTTTGACCAAATTCTGGTTGCACATCTCTTATTGTGGTCTGATAACAGCTGGGAGCGAGCCGACTTTTCCCTGCATCATGGGAACGCTGCCAGGACGAACCCATTGACTTTCCTCCCGGACGGCCTCTCTTCCTCCTCTCAGGATTACATTTCACAGCACCTTTTGCATTTTGCTGAAACCACTGATTCCTAAATGAGCACTGAAGATGGGTGGGTGAATGGCATAAGGATGTGTGGCAGACAAGTGGAGAAGAAGAAGAGCAAATGAAACAAGTAACAGAAATACATAAAAACACAACTTCTTTATTGAATTTATCAGAGCAGTGAGCCCCTCTAAACGGAGCCTCATAAGGGCTGAATGATGTGTGGCCATGTGAAATGTGGGGCTTGGCTCCTCTCCCAAAGAGCCATTAAGCATTTCCCCAATTGGAATGAAATATGAGGATGGATAATTAGAAAGGAAAGTGAGAATAAATGAGTATGAGTCTCTTCCCCCCTCCCTCCATCCCCTCATGAAGCCCTACATGGCAGGTTTTTACTTCTTGGCTTTGCCCTGAGCCGCCACAGCCTCCATGGCTTTCTTTACAGTTTCCTCATCGCCGAGGAAGGACATAGGCTTGATCGGCTTCAGGTCCGCATCCAGCTCGTAGACGATTGGGATTCCAGTGGGAAGGTTCAGCTCCATAATGGCTGCATCAGACATGCCTGGAATAGACACGAAAACAGGAATCAGTTACTTCCAATTTCATTTCATTAACTTAAAATAAAAATGAATCTCTTTGTTTTTTTCTCAAACTTCTTCCTGCCTTGCCTTTACTGATATTCTGTGAATGCAAATTCCATTTATCTCGAAAAATGTACAACCTTTCAGCACAAAGGTCATGACTGTAACAGGAACCAACTTCATGTTCCCTTCAGTCCGAGCGCTGCTGCAACAGACTTTGCACGCTATTTATACGCTGCAAAATCTACGGTTGTGTGACACAAGTCTGCTATTATCATTCACAACCTTTTTATGTTTGCAATTGTAGCCAAAGAGGTGTAGCTATTTAGTCATCCAAACTTTTAGTGCAACTTTGTTGGCATTCATATAGTAAATCTCACCCTCTAAGTGCTTGACGACACCACGGAGGCTGTTGCCATGGGCGGCAATGATGACATTCTTCCCCGCTTTAATTTGAGGAGCAATGACCTCGTTCCAGAAGGGCAAGGCACGAGCAATGGTGTCCTTCAAAGACTCACAAGTGGGCAGCTCACCAGGCTTTAGATCCTTGTACCGGCGAGACTGGAAGTTGAGAACAACAGCAGGACATTGTTGTCCCTTATTTTAGATTGTGGCAGCTTGAGGTTTCAGAGGAAGGAATGGTTCAAGATCTCACCTCACTGATGATTTTGTGGTAAGGGTGGTCCTTGTCCATGGGCGGAGGTGGGATGTCAAAGGACCGACGCCAGATCTTCACTTGCTCCTCGCCGTGCTTCTCAGCCGTCTCTGCCTTGTTGAGACCGGTCAGGCCTCCATAGTGACGCTCATTCAGGCGCCAGGTGCGGATCACAGGCAGCCACATCTGGTCTGTGCCTTCCATGATGGTCCACAGAGTCTTTATGGCACGTTTTAGGACGGAGGTGTAGCACACGTCAAACTTCAGTCCTGCATCTTTGATGGCCTGGGCTCCACGCTTGGCCTCCTCTAAGCCCTTCTCACTGAGGTCAGCATCGAACCAACCACAGAAGCGATTCTCTTGGTTCCAGGAGCTCTCTCCATGTCGGACGATGACCAAGCGATGGGCAGCTGCCATTCTTCCCTGTTTCTCCTGACTTAAACCACACACAGAGCTGTCAGCCCCTCTAGGTTTTTCACTCACACACACTGGCTGACCAACTGTAAGCCACGGGCAACATGCCTCACTCTTTTTATAGCACAGACAGGCCTCTTTACTCCCCACCTGTGAGAGGCCTGTCAGTGTCTGATGGACACACAAGGCAGACCAATGGATCCGGACCTCTGCTGGGCTCATGGGACTGAGTGGGAAGGCCAGAGGTCAGGGATGAACCAAAATAGCAACATGACTTTTAAAATGAGAGCTATGGAACAAAAGTGTAAAGAGCAAGAGCTGGCTGCAAAAAGAGACTTTATGCTAAGATGCTTAGCTTAAAATGCTGCATATGTATATGTAGCTTTTTACTTTGGTGTGCCAAAAGAGTTTAAACAGTTTTACTTTGTTTTAACATGTGAATGTGAAGCTCCATGTACTCTGCATTCATGCACTCATAACAAGGGAAAAGCTACGTATGAATGTTAGTACTATTTACAGCATTATAATTATTTATTATCAAACTAAATTAAACTTGATAAAGATGCAAAATCAAATTACTGTCAGTTTAAAAGTAAAAGTGAAGTACAGATCTTGAGTTGATTCCAAAATCATTATATACTGTCATGTTATTACTGACCCCCAACTCTAGGGGTCCCTCTTCCATCACATTGATGTTTTTCTTGTCAGCTTCAGTTCACACTGCAGTTTGATTAAATCTGTGAACTTATTGACTGAATATTAGAACTAAACACATTTTTGTGTCGTTGGGATTCAGAGACAGAATATTGTACAGTTTTGTTTAATAAAATGTAAGCAGCAGAAATAAACAGAACCCTAGAGAAACAGAGAAATTAATGTTAGAAAAAAAGCAAAAAATGTGAAGTGTCAGCCAAAGCATCCTTCCCCATACTATCAAATTATGATCCACTGGAAAAATCTTTTTTCCCAAAATAGAAATGTAGTGGAATTGTAGGAATATTGCCCAGTATTATCATGTGACCTTTCCAGACGTATTCTATAGAGTAAAATATTAAATGAATTATAAAGTATGAAAGCGCCTTTCTTTTATAAATACTTGTTATTATATTACTGAAATGATCACAGTACATTTCTCAACAAAACTTATTCAACGGCTGTTTGATGACCCACTACTGAACTGTGTTATGCTACTGCAAAGCAAAGTGTAAGTTAACTCCAAAGCTAACAGAAAACTTTTACTTCCCAATCCATGGTGCAGTTTTTGTTGTTGCTGTTGTTTGCTTTTTGGAGGTATTTTTGATCATTCTTTCAGAAACTCATCTGTGAGGATAGACATTTCAGTTTCTATTCTATTCTATTCTATTCTATTCTGTTCTGTTCTATTTATATAGCACCAAATCACGACAAGAGTCATCTCAAGGCACTTCACAGTAAACATTCCAATACAGGTCAGTTCATTTAGCAACTCAGAAAAAAGTTTCCCATACAAGACACTTTTATAGCCTTTTAGATGGAGGCATGTTGGAGGCAGGGCAAGGGAGAGCCGTCTTTACCGACTGTACACTCCACCTCCCTCTACTCCCCCACTTGTCCAGATCTAGGCTAACATCAGATTTTAACCATAGGCCCTATCAAATAAAAATGTGTTAAGCCTATTCTTCAAGTAGACAACGTGTCTGCCTCATGGACTAAAACTGGGAGCTGGTTTCATATTTCATAAAAGAGGAGCCTGATAGCTAAAAGATCTGCCTCCCGTCCTATTTTTAGTTAC